GAGGCCTTCTTTAAATACACAGAACTCCTCAGTGACTGAGACAAGTGAGGGAGACGTGACATTTATTGTGCATAATTTAAATGCAAATCGGTTCCCCATAAAGGAAAATCACAAGATAGTCTGAACTGCAAGCCTTCAACTCTGACCCGTCTGCTGACGCAGGGTTTCAAACTGCTTTAGATCCGCCTTAATCTGTAGTTCAGAGAACAAGCCGCACTGTGAGTGCTGCGAAGCTAGCATTTTTAGTTTTGAAATGAAGTTATTCCCACCCGTAAATTAATTCTTTAAAAAACACTTAAAATAAGCACGTGTTTTCCTCACTTTCAAGCATCCGATTTAAAAATAAGAAATGTGACGTCACTGACGTGTTACGGAGGCGCAGTGACTGGGGCCTGCGAGGAGAGCGCTCTCCCCACAGGCACGGGCGGCGCCCTCCGGGCCGCGGTTCACGGACTCGGAGAGACGCACGGCTCGGGTCTGCCCACCGGCAGGCCCACGACCTCGCTCTGCTGCCCCCTCGCGCAAAGGGCAGAGCGGCCCAGGGTTTCTGGGCAGGACCACGGCCGGAAGCCAGGGCCTGGGGACACCTCCCCGTCTGGCTCTCTGTGCCTGAGGGCTGATGTGCTCTGCAGACTTTTTAAATCACATGGCGGGGGCGGGGAAGGTTTCCTGATAGGCTCCCATGGAGAGTTCTAGAAGGATGGCAGCCTCTGGCCCGAGGACCACGGCTGCTGTGATGGCTGCAGACCCCGGGCAGCCACTGCCTTGCACGCAGGGTCTGGGGCTCACAGCTCCACCCCCAGCGGCCTGCCCTGCGCTGAGCCCAGAGCGCAGGTGAAAGGCAGGTGTGGCTGCGGGAGGGGGAGGGGCCTGAGAAAGGAGAGGAGGGCGGGGCCTGGCTGGGGGAGCCCGGGGAGGAGCCTGAGAGAGGAGGGCGGGTGAAAGAAAGAAGGACCCGGACTCTGCAGAGTCCCGGCCAAAAGGTGAGAGACGGACACCAGAAGCCCCTGAAGGGCGGCGACCCCCCTGGGAAATGCGGGGCATGCGGGAAAGCGCAGTGCGACCCCCTTGGTGTCACACGGGGGCTTTAACATTGCAAGGCGCCTTCTCCGTAGATAAAGCTGTAACATTGAAGGGCATTCAAAATGATGTGACACTTGGGCCAATCAGAACGCAATCTGTGAGAATCGAGACAGTCACGTGACGCTCACGCCCCCAGGAGGGCACTGCCACACCTGGTGGCCCACTGCACCTACTCACCAAGCTGGGCCAAAGGGGCTGGGGGGCAGCGGGGGGGCCGCAGCCAGGGAATGGGGGACGCGGAGGGGGCGGAGGGGTGACGGAAAACGGGGGTGAGGGAAGTAAGACTGGACCCCTGAGAAAGGAGGCTTAGGGGGCGGGAGGACCGAGAAGTCAGCTTGGAGCGACCCCCAGGCGCGGCCGCTACAGGCCCAGGGAGAGCGTCTCTGCCCGAAGAGCCAGGAACAGCCGCACCTGCACAGCTCAGGGCGCACCTTGGGCGGCCACCGCGGCGACAGAGCCGGCGACAGAGCCGGCCACAGGCGGCCGGGCGCTTCCCACAGCTTTCTGGTGAGGCGGGTAAAGTTCGGGCAGAGCAAGCGCTGGGGTTCTCCCCGTGGCTTACCCGCGCCACGGCAGGGGTCTGGGGTGTCCTCTCCCCTCGTTCCTGTTTTGTAACACCTGGGCCACAGCCTTGAGGTTACAGCTGAGCTTAAAAGGGCTTCGATCCTGACTGTGAAGCCTTGGGCAAGTCAATACTTCATCTCTCAGCCTCGGTTTCCTCACCTGAAAATGCGCAGAGAGCAGAGTTCCCTGAGCCCTCAGCGGCAGGCACATGAAGTGCTCGGGGCTGTTCCCGACTCTCAGAGAGCACAGACCAGCCCCTCGCCATGGACCTGCCGGCCCCCAGGAGGCGACCCTCTGCTGAAGCAGAGACAAGATGTGCACTCAGCTGCTCGCACGCGGCGCCGCGGCCCCGCAGGCGGCGTCCACCTGAGTCAGTGAGTGAAGTAAGCGCTGGGTGCACCGACAGCAGAGGCAGCTGGGTGAACGCGCAGGCACAAGTCTGTTCATTTCGCACATACACAGCATATTCGTTTTCTTCTGCTGCCCTGAGAATGACCACAACTGAATGGCTTCAGACAACGCCCACTATCACCTCCCAGCTGTGAAGTCAGCGGGGCTCAGGACGGCTCCGCGGGCCCTCGCCCAGGCTGAAAGCTCGGCCCTTGGCAGGGCGGCACGGTCTCCTGGGGATCTGGGGACTCTGGGGGCAAGTCTGTGTCCACGCTCTTGGCTGAATTCGGTTCGGAGGCTCGTCGCAGGCCTCAGGTCCCATCCCTGGCTGGCGCTCAGCCAGGGCCAGTCTCTGCCCCCGCAGGCTGCCCGCGTCCCTTCTCATGCGTCCCCTGCGGTCGCCCCAGCAGCAGCAGGTCACGTACCTCACAAGCTCTGCATGTCTGAGCACAGCTGGAGAAAATGCTGTGCTCTTTGGAGCGCTCCTGTGCGTAGACTGGGCACGTGCGGACAATCCCGGGAGCCTCCCAGTGCTAACGTCTGGAACCTTAATTCATTACACCTGCAAAGTCCCTTGGGCCACGTCCTGTACTCTCATCCTTTGTTTTTGCCTTCTTTTCTCCCCTGTCTTAATAACTTGGAGAAAAATTCAGGGATCCAATTCTTTTTTCAGGAGTAAAGAGAAAATATGGGATGAAGTGAACTTGTTGGACTCCAGCTGTATGGCGGCAGCAGGTTGTCAAAGTCAGCGATGTTGACGGCAGCTTTATTCTAATCACCAAGGCTTGGAAGCAATGAAGTCGCCCTTCAGTAGGGGAATGAACACATGAGCGCGGTCCATCCAGGTGCTGGGGAGGAAAACTTAGCCTCTACCCTTCAAGGTTCTTCTGGCTGGGCTGATAACCAGATTAACACGAGACAAATCAGCAAGAGGAAAACAGGTTGAAGTTTAATAACATGGATACCTCTTGTGTACATGGGAGAGACCCAGGAACCGAGTTACATGCCAAAATGGCAAAGCTATCACCTTACATGCCACCTTCAGCTAAAGAGAGAAGATGTCAGGGAGAAAAGGCGGCTGCGGGAGGCTCCCAGGAGGAGCAGAGGAAGGAGGATGCCAGGCAGACGGTGAAGGCAGCATGACCTGCGGGGAAGACACCTTGCAGGCGGAGGTCTCCCTGGCAAGGCTAACGTCCTTTACAAAGGGCTCCTTCTGCCCTTGGGTTGGTCTACAGAGCTTCTCCCGGGTCTGCTGTGTCTTAAACAGCCTAAAATAATCAGAATCCCAAAGTGGCGGATTTTGGGGTGGCGAACTCTGGTCCCCTGCACACAGACAATGGAGTATTACTCAGTGATAAAAAAAAATTTTTTTAATCAAACCACGAAAAGATATGGAGGAACCTTAAAAGCATATTACTAAGTGAAAAAAGCCAACTGTAAGACATGCTGGAAAAGGTAAAATCCTGGAGACAGTGAAAAGATCGGTGGCAGCCAGGAGCTGGGGGGCAGGAGGGGTGGAGCACAGAGGCCTTTTAAGGCCGTAAAAACACTCTGTGTGATATACAACTAGACACGTGCACGTCTCTATGGGACCCATCTATGACAACTCTGAGCCAGCTACTTATCTGAACTTGAAAATAATCCACCCTTGGTATCTTAAATGGTATCCAGTCACTGGAAGCTAAAGTCAAAGAATTTTTCTTTTAAAATATGCAAAGAACAACTGCGACTGCTTTCAAATTTTTCAGATACAAAGGACGGCAGCTAGCTATTTTCAAGAATACATCTGTTTTTTTTATTTTTTTTCTCTTATTGCTTGATTTTAGAGAGAGAGGAGAGGGGGAGAGAAAGAGAGAGATCGATTTGTTGTTCATTGGTTGCTCCTTGTCTGTGCTTCCACCAGGGATGGAACCCACAACCTCGGCGTAAGGGAAGGGCGTTCCAACCAACTGAGCGATCCGGCCCGGGCTGCCACTGTGGTTTTCTACGTTTCACTTTAAAGGTGGCTTACAGCCTAAACTAAAACTAATGATCTTGTCATCGCTTCAAAAGGCATCTCTAACACTCACTAAGGCGTTTGCAGTAGGGGAGTCCGATCCTTAACTCACTTTTCAACCGCTCGGGGCAGACTGGCAGGCTAGAAAGGGAGGCTGCAGCCCGTCTCCGCTCGGCGTCACAGCGGAGGGCTGAGCGCACTGCCTGCCGTTCCCCGGCTTTCTCCGCACGGCCCACTGCAGGCCGTCAGGGTCGGACCCCGCACCCCGCCGCGGCGCGCGACAGCCAGCGGTCTCTCCCGGCGCGCGGCGCGCAGCGGAGACGACCGCCCCTGTCCTCGCCGCCGGTCCTCCGGAAGCCCAGCGCCCCGGTGGCCGCTGCCTCTCCTCCGGGGCTCGGTCCTCGGCCCTCTTCCCCGTCCGCCCCTCTCGCGGTGAGCTCACCTAGTGTCTCAGGCTGCCATCAAGGACGAACACGGACGTCCCGAGGCTCGCACTGCGCCCGACTCGAAGGGGCCAGAGAGGACGCGCTCAGGCGCCGCGCGCTCCAGGTGCCAACCGAGCCGGCACGCCCCGCCCGCTCGCCCGTCGGAGCGCGCTCCCATTGGCCGAAGCGCTGGCTGGGGCGGGGCCGCTGGAGCCCTCCCGTAAACCCTGGAGAGGTGTGCGGCGGCCCACAGCGCCGCTAGCGGTTTTCAAGGAACCGCCGGGCCCGGGTTCACAGCCTGCAGGCCGTGGCGTCTCCTGGATGCCTGAAGCGCCCTCTTCCGGGCGCCCCGCGCCGCACGGGAGTGTTCGCGCAGGCGCAGTCGGCGCGGTCCGGCAGCCCCCGGCAGTCCCCGCGGCCCCAGGCCCCGCCCCCCGGCCCAGGGGAGATCCCGGCGGCCCCGCCCGCGGCCGCGGAGAGGGCGGGGGAATGACGTCATTGAACAGGGCGACGGGCATTGGGCGCCATTTTGAAAAGGGAAAAAAAAAATCCCTCCCCGGCGGCGGCGGCGGCGGCGGCAGCGGCAGCGGCCGGGCTGAGGTGCTGAGGCGGCAGCAGCGCGGGGCCGCCTGCTTCGTCCGCCGCCGCCTCGGCGCCCGCCGGCCGGCCGGCCATGGCAGGTGAGGGCCCGCGCGGGGGCGCGTGGCCGGGCCGGGGCAGGGGGCGCGGGCGGGCGGGGCCGCGCGGCCTGACGTGCCCGGTGTGTCCGCAGGAGCCGGAGGCGGCGGCTGCCCCGCGAGCGGCAACGACTTGCAGTGGTGCTTCTCGCAGGTGAAGGGGGCCATCGACGAGGACGTGGCGGAAGGTAAGACCGCGCCCTCCCGCGGCCCTCACCGCCCCGCCCGCGGCCCCGGCCCTCGGTCATCGGCCCCCGGTCTCCGGCCCCCGGGGTGGCGGCCGCGGCCGCCGGGAGCGTCCGCGCAGAGGTCCGAGCTGCAGCGCGCGGGGCAAGGTCATGGCGCTGCTCGCCCTCGGTCTTCCCGCCGCAGGGGGCTGCCTGGAGTCGCTGCGGAGCCCGGGGGCGCGGGCCCCCGGACGGGCCGGCGTCGCAGAGCGGCCGCCTGTGCCCTGCGGGGCTGGGGCGGGCGTCGGGCGCGGTTTCTCCACCGTCGTCCACTCCCGCTGCTTCTCTGGGGAACTTGGCCGTGTCCTCCTCACTGCGAGCCCCGGGGGCCTCCCCGAGCCGCCTGTCGGGGGCCCGCGGCGACGGGCCGCGCTCACCCGCACCCCTGCTGCGCCGCCCCGGGCGACCGGCCGCCGCGCGCGGTGCCCTCCTCCGCCCCCGGGACCCCGGCGCCCCGGGAGGAAGGGGCGCGGACGGGCGACGAGTCGGCCCCGCCGGCGGCCCGCGGCGGGCGGCGTCGGGAAGCGCGCTGTCCTCTGAGCGGGGCCGACGGGGCCGGCGCGGCTTCGAGGGAGCCGCGTGTGCGGGCTCGCTCTGCTCCGGGTCCGCGCGCGCGGCGGCCTCGGTCCTCCGTGGGGCCCGGCCCCTGTCGCCCTAGTTGGAGCCGTGAGGGTTGTCGATCGAAGCCGCTGCCAAAGCAGAAAAGTGGGGCCGTCGGCGACCAGCGACCGTTGCGCAGCGGGGAGGACGGGGCCCGCCAGGCCGCCGAGAGGGAGCGGGTAGCCGCGTCGGGACCGCAGCGTCGGGCTCAGGGCGGCCGGCGCGGCGCCGGGTCCGAGCTCTGCTCGGCTGAGGGCCCGCCCGGGGCCGGGAGTTGAGAGCAGGGGCCCCGCGGGCTGGGGCTTGTCGTTGCTCCGTGCGCAGCTCTGACCGCCTGGGGCTCGGAGGGCGCAGCCCCGGGTGAGACCCGGGCCTCGGAGGAGGAGGGCCTCGCGGGCGGGGCATCTCCCGGCCGTGGCAGGACAGCTGGGCCGCTGGCCAAGGCCTGGCCCCGGCCGCGCAGGTGGGAAGGGGCCCTCCTGCCCAGATGGGCGAGAGCCGCGGCCGGAGCACCAGGCGCGGCCGCCGGAGGCAGGGAGGGCGGCCGCTGGCTTATGCCTCCAAGTACCATATTCCCGACGGTGGTTGCTTTCTGGGAATTGTTGAGTGCGAGTTTTTCACGCAGGAGGCGTCACCCGGCCCCACTGCGTTCCCATGGAGAACTGCCCCGGCGAACGCCTGCGGTGTCCCTGTGTCGCCGCGGCCCGTTGCTTGTCCGCCTTCTGCAGAGCGTGAGCTTCTCAAGCTCGAGGGCTCCGTGCTGAACCCCCAGCCCAGCCCCTGGCAGAGGCCCCGCCCAGAAGGTCACCGCCGCCCCCAGCGGTGAGCATGGTGTCCCAGAGGCTGCTCCAGGCCGCCGGTGCCTGCCCGGGCCCCCAGCGCCATCCTCGCCATTGCTTTCCCGCTTCAGACGCGAAGCCCCCGCGCCGGGGCCAGCGGCTCGGGCAGCAGCCTGCACTCGGCAGAGCGGGCGTTTGCAGCCGGGCGCCTGGCTCCAGGGCCCGGGAGTGCGGTGCTGGTCAGTGATCGCCCGCGGCCCGTACTGCTGCCCCTGCTGGGGGAGGTGGCAGCCCGGCCCAGGGACGCTGGGTCCTAGAGCCCTGACCTCTCACCCTCGGGGACCGTAGGCGTGGTGCCTGAAAGCAGGCGGTGAGACCCTCCGGAAGGGATTGCCTGTCAGACCCTATGGCACTGGTGGTGGGGGCTGGGGAGCGGGCAGTCTGAGGTGCTTGGAGGGGAGGCTCAGGGAGGAGGAGCGAGTGCAGCGCCTGGTGTCGCGCAGGTGACGCGGGAGCTCTGGCGCCCGGCGGCTGGTGGTGACGCCGCTGCCTTCTTGCAGGGAGAGGTGGGTCCCTGGCCTTTGCACGGTGATTGCTTGGGCGGGAGGAGGGTTTTGTAAGGAACTGTCCCCTGCTTTCATGTGGCTTTTGCATAGCTTGATCGTATCTGGTTCCTTTCATCTCAGAATTTCTTGTTTTAAGTCTCTTGACTTTTTATGTGATGATTTTGTTTTAATCAGTATTTTAATCCATGGTCTGATCTGTTGCTTTAAATTAGAGATCTTTTTCTAGGGAAATAAAGCTAAAGAAGACGAAAGGCGTATCCGCGTAACTGCAGCCTGAGCCCCGGGCCCTGTGCAGGTGACCTGGGCACCGGAGCGACCTGGCGGGGCGGCGTTTCTGGGCGGTTCACAGAGACAGCGTGGAAGGAGGGGGGTTTGCTCTGGGGGAGGGTAACAGAAATCCAGGGCACTTGGGCATCAGGATGGGGAAGTTACTCTGTTCATCGAACACAAGGTAGACCTGATTCCAAAGGCGTTACAACGGGGGAAACGTGCTCCTCGGAATCAATGAGATACGGTAGTCGTGAACGTGGAACTCTTCTGTCGCAGCCGTTGTTCTTAGAGTAGGATGGTTGATCTTTTTCTTCATAGAAAATGGCATTCAGTATTTGTCATTGGGTTTTTTTTTCCCCTTACGTCAGGAAGGGACAAGGTGTCTGGTTGTTTGAATTGTTCCCAGTCTGATGTCTGCATTCCACTGTGGGATTTCCGTGTGCTTGACATTGATACTAACGCCTCAGGAAAGCATGTTCTGGGGAAGCCGTCCGAGGACAACGACCTGGTGCCTGCAGCTTAACCTGGGGGTTTCACACGGAGGTCCTGCCTTTGGGAATCAGACGTGCGTGGTTTCTTTAATGCGTTCGGCATGCTCGTTGAGCACAAGTTTCTTGTAACGTCTCTGAAATCAGGCTGCGTGTCACAAAGCTGGGCTGATATTAGTTGTATAACCACATTAAGTTTACAAGATTCATGGTAGTATTTTGATTTTAAAGATTTCACTTACTTATTTTGAGAGGGGGAGGGAGGGAGGGAGGGAGAGAAGCGTCTGTGTGTGGTTGCCTCTCACGCACCCCCAGCTGGGGACCCAGGCCTGTGCCCTGCCTCGGAATTGACCTGGTGACTGCGGCTCACAGGCCGCGGGCCCACTGAGCCGCGCCAGCCTGGGCTTGCTCCTTGGTTTTAAAAGTCTGTTGTTTCCAGGGGAAGCCCTGGGTTTGCAGTGTGTCTGCCAGTTATTGGTCAGTGGGGCCTCACTGAACCTTCGCTTACTCATGTAGAAATTGTGCCAGAAGATTTTTGTTAAGATCAAACAGTGTGGGGTGGTTTTGTAACACGTAGATTGTTGCAGATGTGGGGTACAGCTGTCAACTGACTCGTGTATTTTAAGGTGTTTTGTTGTAGCTATATTTAAGTATAAAAAGAGCAGTTTCTTGTTTTCTCCTGACCTCTCTCGAATCTCTCCGCATACCCAGGTCCCTCCCCGTGTGCTGGACCTCTGTTTTTTTCCATTATTTTCAGTGACACTTCTCATCCCTCCAATTTCGCTCATACCCTTTGCCACCTTAGAATATTCTTTCTGTGCTGTGTACCCTACCCCCGCTTCTACGTCCGCCTCAGAGCCCTCGCTCTGAAGCCCCGCCCACACCCCCCTCTCCACCCCTCCCCCCGGGTCTGCTTCAGGAGCCGACCTGCCTTGCACTCAGCACTCAGCTGCACAGTTGGCTGCGCGCTGCTGGCTGGTCCTCCCTTCCGTCACGTGGGTCAGGCTTTTCTCTTCGACTGGATGCGCAGCGGGCTGTGGAAACAAGTCCTGTTTCGAAGGGCTCACTAGCTCCGCGTCCATCCGCCAGGCTGCCTACCCCGCGTCGACGCCTCGGGCGGAACAGGCGCTGTCCCCCTGAGCGTTGCCAGGGCAGCTGGGGAGCCCCCGGGCGATGCAGGGGAGGCTCTGGCAAGCAGGCCGCACGGGGCCTGCCGACGGTCGCTGCCGCCGTCTCCCCAGGGAGTGGGCCTCAGCACGACCGGTGCGGGGCTGGCTCCCAGTGGGGTCCCGAGGGCTGCAGGTGCTGGGTGTTGGAGGAGAAACCCAGTTCCGGCCTCACGAAGCCCTCTGCTCAGCCAGACTGACAGGCAGGTGGGTCACTGGCACCGTCCCGAGAGCCGGGCTCGTGGTGAGAATGGAATAGAAGTGCCTGTACGGAGACGGCAGGGTGGGGACGGTGGGGGGCGGGGGGCGCTGTGTGCAGGCAGAGGAAGGGAGGGCAGGGGAGGGATTGTGCTAGCGGCAGGGGGCTGGTGTGGAGGCTGCAGCGAGCTTGCCGCCTGCTGGGAAGTCGGGCTGGGCAGGGGCCTGTGGGCAGGGCCGGGGTGTGGAACGGGGGCCTTGACTGCCGTGCTGAGGGCTCCGCATGGCGCCCCGAAGGGATTGTGGGAACAAGCTGTTAGGATTTCAGGCAGAGGGGCGGCACCCAGGGGCATTTTTCAGGGAGGCCACGCTGGCTGGGGGGAAGAAGAACGGGGCCGAAGTGCCGGCGAGGAAGTCGTGGCCGCAGCGACACAGGCTGGAGCCCGGGCCTGCTCTGCAGCGCAGCTCAGCCGGCTTGTTTGGAAAGGGCAGCAGGAAACCTCGCCGGCTTTGCCAGCCAGGCGTCTCTGTCGTCGCATCTGCTGAGCACAGCTCTGCCTTGGAGCAGGAAGCAGCCCGCAGCCCCGCTTAGGAATGGCGCCGCGGCGGGTCGGTGCCGTGGTTCACGGAGCGGCAGGGGTCAGACTGGGCCCTGGGCTGTAGCTGGCCAGCCCTGGCCAGACCAGCGGTCCTCAGCCTGGGTTCCCGAGAGGCCCCTTGAGCTTTTGTTCTCGTGGGTTACAGCTATTGATGTTTGTTATGTTTGACTCAAGAGGGAATAATTGAAAATATTTATTTCACTTAAAAATCATAACCTGTTACATGTCAGCATAACATTTTTAATGAAAACCAAGCCAAATGGATGAGAGTGGCGTTGTTTTGCACTTCACAAAC